GACTGGATACCTCTGGGCAGGCTCATATCAGATATTCTAACGGAAAACAAACTGGTAGAATATCTGGTTGAGGCTCAACAGGTCAGCACTCTGGAAGTATGTGCTGGTAAACCTCTGAATGCGAAGAATATGAAGAACATGAATATCATTGACACCATCAAGAAGGATCCAACTGTAACAACAAAGGAAGTCATCACAACTAGAAGAGTACCTCTGAAGGATTTTCCTCTCTTCTCTCAAACAGATGCTTCTCCAAAAATTATCGTCAGATATCTGGAGGCTTGCAAAATGGACAGGACTATTCCAGAAGTGAACATTTGCGATCTGCGACAATAGGCTCTGGAGATTGTCCTCAAGAAATCAAGGAAAAGGAAAGTTGTTGGAGAAGGATCTTCTTAGAAGGTTCCCAAGGCTGCTAAGAAGAAAGGTAATTCTTCTTTTATTTCTGTTATGGAATCAGTTCTTTTATCAACATCTGAAACCCCCTCCTCTCCAAAACCTACAGAAGACCCTTCACCACAAACCTTTGATGACTTTGATATTGAGTTTAACCTTTCACTTACTCTATAAAACATTATGGACGATCCACCTTCTACCCATATTGAGCAAAATCAACCAGAACTTGCTCAAGTTCTTTCTGATATTGATCAATTTGATCCAGTGTTCCAAGCTCCCCACTCAAAAAATCCAAACTTTCACGCTCCCCAATCAGAAAATCCAAATTTTGACTCTGATACCACTTCAACTATTCTTGGAATAACATGCCCTCTCATAGTCTAACAACCAATCACAATCCATGACATCCTAGAAATTCCATATCCCTATCATTCCACTCCACCAAACACACCATATTCACTCATTATTATCTCTGATTCTCACTCTCTAAATAACCATCCAGAAGATCACCTTCGCACCATTATAGACTTAGAAGCTCTGGACAATCTTGTCTCGTGCTCTCAAAAAATTGTCGTACCAAAACCAAAACCAAAAACCACCAAAGCAGATGTTGGTAAAAATTTGTTGATTTTTGAAATAGAAATACTTGAATGGGTTAACTCTCTGAAGTTGACCTGCTTAGAGAATCTTAATCCTGTTGCTTCTGATTCACACTAGAACCAGTTCGGAAAATGGTTCAATTTTGAGTCCCAAAAACTTAAGAAGTTGAGTTATGAAATTGCTCAACAAAACTTTTGTGATCATCTGAGAGTCTTCAAAGATCAAGTTCTGCCTCACTGGGAAAAGAAACCTCTCCTTCTGCTAGACAATTCCCCTTGGGAAGATCGGCAGCCTTCAGAATATGATGAACCATCCTCTGATCCTTTTCCTCTGGTTACGGTTCAAGACAAAGGAAAGGAAGTTGAAAAATCTATTGAATCAGATTCAGCAGCAGCAGCTTACTCTGAAAAGGTGACACCTTCTGTTGATATACCTTCTTCATCTCTGGTTCTGAAAACTCTAGAGGAGTTGAAGAAAGAAAATGAAGTGTTCAAGGAGAGACTAGACAAGCAAGATGACACATGCAAGGAAATCAAAGGGATGCTGGGAAAACAAGAAGAGTAAAACACTCAGACTAAGAATTTGTTGGAAGCTCTGTTCACACGACTTCCTCCACCTCAATCTTAGTTTTAAAAATTGTTTTCTTTATTGTGTCCAATTTTTTTTGTGTTGTTTTCTTCTGAATGTGTTATTGCAATCCTTTTTAATACAACTCATCTTTTATTGATTAAAGTGTTTATATTGCTTTTTGATTCTTGACAAAAAGGGAGAGAACATAAGACATTTCTAATAACAGTATCGAGACGCAGTCTCAAACATTTTGAATATCATAACTTCTTGTTTCTTTCTGAAAGCAAAACAGGAACAAACTCTGGTGAAGACAGAAGTAGATGCATCAAAAAAAACTCTAATCAGAATAAACTTCAGGGAAGTATTTCTTCTCTATCTGAGTATTCAACTCAGGGGGAGATCTTAAAATGCTTTATGTTCTTTCTGTTTCTATTGAAATATCCTAGTTTTTGTCATCATCAAAAAGGAGGAGATTGTTATAACATAGTTCGATTCTACAACCCTTGTAAGAGTTTTGATGATAACAAACACAAAGAACAATTATGCTCCTTAAATTTATATTTTGTTTTACAGAGAAGTTCTGATGGAAGAAGATCAGAAGATGAGTTAAAAAGCTATTTCAAATCTGATTATAAACATCTCTTAAAGAAGTTATGACGCTACAGGACTCTGTGTTTCTGATCCATAAAGCTCTAGAAAGAAGCAATGGATACTGTCATCTTCTGAAGCAAGCATGTTCTGAAGCGTTACAAATCAATTATTACCATTTCAAAAGTAACGGCTGGAAGGGAACAAGGATCTTTATTTTTGGAAAGCTCTTTAATTGTCATTGATCAACATTCCAAAAGCCCGTACATGCTTCGCCTATTTAAACAAACTTTAAAGGATAAATCATTCACAATTTTTCACGCACAGTAACGCAGCTATCTCTATCATCCTCAAACGTTCAAAATTTAAACTGTGTAAAACATCACTTGTGATACTGTTTTATTAGAAAACATTCTTGTACACTTTTATTCAATATTGTTTAGTTAAATTTCTTGAGAAAACTAGCTTGTGGTTTATACTCAAGAAGACTTTGACGGTTGTCATAGTAGTTTTGTAATCAAGTTTGACTAGTGAATTAAGACCTCGTTGAGAGAGGCGAAATCACCTTAGCGGGTGGACTGAAGTAGTTTGAGTTCAAACGAACAAGGATAACCAACGTGTTCTTTTCTTTAAGTTTTAAAAATTACAATTCAAACCCCTCTTTCTTGTGTTTTTCCATTCTTCAGATTCTACTATCCAGTTAAAATCTCAAACTATCGCTCTATTGACCCTAACTTTTACTAGCTTTTTACTGTCATACAAAAATTGTTTTAATTTTAGAATTAGAAACTATAACCATAAAAATAGTTTATAAAGATTGGCGCCAATTATTACTGAATCTCGTCTAGACGACAGTTTTTACACACTGGTATCAAACAATTTAGCCAGGCAAGGTTTTAAACATAAACATGTTATCGCAATCAATAATCATAGAATAGAACATGATTTCGACAGAAACAATAATTATCTTAAATTAAATTTGAGCAGATCGGGACAACAATGCAACGATGATATCAAAACAATCATAACACATAGAAAGCAATTAAATAGAACCTGATAAAATAAATGATATTATAAACGAAAAATGCTTCAGAACTGCTCCTAATTATGCCGACAAGATTGTTTATCCAAATACATAATGAAAATCTAATACCAAGAACTAAGTTGTGATAGTCCCTTGATGTAGAAGAGTTGTCCCTTTTACAGGTGAGTTTCTACTTAAAGTCTAAGAATAATTGCTCTGACTGGAAGACTCCATGATCCTCGACTGAAGGTGTGATCTCTATTTATAATGTAGCTTTTCCCCTGAAAATATAGTGGTCAGCGAGAATTTAGGGCGGTTGGCTTGAACGAGAAAGATGGGACGTGGGGAGAGTGGTGGGCGCGTGGAGAAGAATGGCGATAATCTAGAAAAAATTGACTTTGTGGCATGTGCCATGTATGGAAGTGGCAGACGCCATTCTTTGTTGTTTGGACGTGGCAGGCGCCACCCTTAGTGGTGGTGGGCGCCACTCTCTTCATGTGTGGCAGGAGCCACATGTTGAGGTGGTGGGTGCCACCCTGGGCCTTGTTCTTGTATTTTCTTTATTTTTTTTACTTCTTTTCTTTTCATTTTTTACTCAAATTTTCTTTGTAGTCATTTCTACTCGAGGTAGCTGAAATAGGACAATAATACTAGCATAACAAGACATAAATAAAAGAAAATTAAACTAAAATCCATGTGAGTCAAGTCAAAAATATGATATAATTTTGCATTATCACATGACAACAAATTTTATTGAATCAATGAACGGTGACTTCAAAGATATATGAAACCTCCCAGTAACCGCTTTGGTGAAATCAACATATTTTAGGATAGCTTCGTTGTTTACAAAAAGAGGTGAAATATGGAACGTGATGTTACAATCGAGACAACTATGAAGTGAAAGCTACATGAAATTTATTAAGGCAGAAAGTGCCAAAGCCAACACACATCATGTTACAAGATTCGACTGACATAGTCACAACTTCATTGACAAAGAGACACTCGACCACAATGAGGGACTGCCAAGACAAGAGTGTAAGGTTATACTATCATCTCGTTGGTGCAATTGTGGAAAGTTTAAAGTCTTTCGTATGCCTTGCTCTCATGTCATTGCGGGATATACATATGTTTATCAAGATGCATTATTACTTCTATCTCCTATTTACAAGGTCTAGACCTTGCTCAACGTATACAACAATGGCTTTTCAGTGGTAGCGAAACCGAATTATTGGCCTACGTATGAAAGAGAAATTGTTTGGCACAACAATCAAATGCGAAGGAATAAAAAGAATTGTCTCAAAAGCAATGGACTCCTTTGACAAGCTAGAAAGAAAGTGTCACTATCTGTACTTTTTTAAGATCTAAACGGAAAAAATTTCATTAAGAACATTTGTTACAATAAATTATACGCAAACAACAAATAAAAACACATCACCATCACGATAAAATATCTAAGAAACCGTCAAAACAATTTCATTTGTAGACGTATCCATCTCTCGTGAAAATCATGAAATATGTCATGACGCACAAAACAAAGAGAAAATGAGAAGAGGATGTGAAAAAGTATGGAGAATAATGAAAAAATATGTAATTTATTTATAGGAAACACAATTGCATACACCATCTAACTTGCATGTTTACCATCTAACTTTATTTCCATAATTTTTGGGCTTTTTATAGGTATACACAACCAAATTATAAAAAATTTAAAATAACAAATCTTTATTCAATTTACTCTTTCCTTGAGAAGATCCATACTTCTTTAAGTTGGCTTATTCAAATTTCAAACAGAAATTTATGTGTTGAATTGATATCATTTAAAATGACACTCAATAGATATGACAGCAACAAAAGAAAAGTAGTTGGCCTACTTTGTTGTCATAAGCCGCCAGTTGTTTTCTACCAATGCTGGTTCGTAGTTGGCCTACTTTGTTGTCATAAGCCGCCAGTTGTTTTCTACCAATGCTGGTTCGTGCTATTCACCGTTATCAACAAATTGAAAAATCCTAATTCAAACATTTCTAGTACGCGTGTGCACATGATAAATCGAATTCAAGATAGTATTAATTCAAAGATTTCTAGACGCGGAAAAAATTTTACTCATTTTTTAAAAACATTAAAGGTGTACTTAAATTAGGCATACTTCTCACACAACCCCCAACCAAAGCATTATTCAAACCCATTTGGTTTCAATCAACAAAAACCAATAGGTTGCCTTCCTCATACCCATCCACCCTAACATCACAAAAACCTACAATTCTACAACCACAATTCTGAAAAAAGTCTAACACCAAAAATCCAACAAGGAAAAATGAAACAATCAAACGGTTTCATAAAATCAGTTTTCTTGGCCCGCAATCTCACCACCACCACCTCGATCACCTTTCAGTACCTGTAGGCAGCTGGCTTGTAAGGACCCTCAACTGGCACACTGATGTAATCCGCCTGTGATTGAGTAAGCTTGGTGAGTTTAGCTCCAAGCTTGCCAAGGTGAAGTGCAGCCACCTTCTCATCAAGATGCTTAGGCAAAACGTAAACCTTCTTTTCATACTTTCCTGACTTCCTCTCATTCCACAACTCAAGTTGAGCAATGACTTGGTTGGTGAAAGAGCAGGACATCACAAAACTAGGGTGTCCAGTGGCACATCCCAAGTTCATCAAACGACCCTCTGCCAATACAATGATACCAGTGTTTGTCTCAGGGAATAACCACCTGTCAGTTTGAGGCTTGATGGTGATACGCTTCACACCAGGGTAGTTCTCAAGGCCAGACATATCAATTTCATTGTCAAAGTGACCAATGTTACAAACAATGGCATTGTTCTTCATTTTCTTCATGTCACCAACCATGATGATGTCCTTGTTACCAGTGGTGGTAACAAAGATATCAGCATAAGAGACAACATCATCAAGAGTCAAAACCTGGAATCCTTCCATGAGAGCCTGAAGAGCACAGATTGGATCAATCTCAGTCACAATCACACGAGCACCAGCTTGCTTCAAGGCAACAGCACAACCCTTTCCAACATCTCCGTATCCACAGACAACGCCCACTTTCCCAGCAATCATAACATCAGTAGCCCTCATCAAACCATCTGGAAGAGAGTGACGGCATCCATACAAGTTGTCAAACTGATACAAAAACACGGTTAGATCAGAATATGAAAATTCATATCATTGTCAGCTACATACACACAATCAATGACATCATGTTAAATTAAAGATCTAAACCCTAGGAATGCCAATTGGACACAATATCACACACCAAACTACTCTCTAGAGATCTATGAAACAATTGACAGATCTTAAGACTAGCTAAATCACTTTACCACAACTACACATGCCAAACTTCTTTCAAGACATTTATCAAACAATTGGCAGATCTAAACCCAAGCTATATCAATTGAACACAATTACGCATACTAAAACTTCTTTCAAGAAGTTTATAAAACATTTATCAAACAATTAGCAGATCCAAAACACAATACTCAATTCAACACCATACACACTCTAATCCACACTAATTTACATAACCCAAAACCCAAAACCCCAAGCATGAAAAAGCATGAATAAAATTAAAAAATCCCAGATCCAAATTAAAACATGAAGAAATCACAGATCTAGGTTAAGAAACTGACCTTGCTCTTGGTGACAGAGTCATTGACATTAATAGCAGGGAACAAAAGAGTTCCACTAGCTTGCATCTGATAAAGCCTCTTAACACCAGTTGTAGTCTCTTCCGAAACACCAACAAGCCTCTCCTTCATCTTACGGAACCTTTGAGGGTCAGTCTTCAACCCATCTCTAATGATGGTAAGCACAAGCTGAAACTCAGCGTTATCAGTAGAGCTAGGATCAGGAACCTCACCGGTCTTCTCAAAAAGCTCTTCAGCTTTAACACCTTCATGGATCAAGAGAGTAGCATCACCACCGTCATCAACAATCAGATCGGGACCACCACCGGGACCCCAATCCAAAGCGCGTTCAGTACACCACCAATATTCCTGCAGGGTTTCACCCTTCCAGGCGAATACAGCAGCACTGTCACGAGCGATGGCGGCAGCGGCGTGGTCTTGAGTTGAGAAAATGTTGCAGGAACACCAACGGACTTCAGCGCCGAGGGCTGTTAGGGTTTCGATGAGGACGGCGGTTTGGATGGTCATGTGAAGAGATCCGGTGATTCTGGCTCCTTTGAAGGGCTGGGATGGTCCGAACTCGGTCCGGCAGGAGACGAGTCCGGGCATCTCGATTTCGGCCAACTCGATTTCAAGACGGCCGAAATCGGCTTGAGAAAGGTCTCTGACCTTGTACTCACGGCCAGCGGTGGTTTTCTCTACTGTAAGAGACATGGTTGATTACACTAAACACAGTGTGTTAAGAAGAAACTGTGTTTGTGTAACGGATTGGGGAGAGAGAGAGAAGAGTGAGAGGTGAAGGATGAAGTGAGAATGAGAGTGGGTATAAATAAGTGTTTAAGATATTGGGAGTTGGTGGACCGGATTGGACCGGGCCGATCCAGATCTGGTTTTTTTCTTACCCTTTTAGATATTATGGACCTGAAAATAAATTAAATCATCCTACTTTAAATCTTTGTCAATGTGTTTTTTTTAATTCTTTTCTGTTTTCTTCACTTTATTTTTTTTAAATAAATAAAAACTAAAGTAATTAAGAAAAGGATTTATTTTTTAAAGAAAATTATTTAATTTTTTAATAAGATAAAAGTAATATTATTTTAAAATAAAGTATTCGCATTTGTGTGTAGGACAAAAATTATGTGCAGTTATTTAAATGTAATTTTTATTATTTTGTAATAAAAAGTAATAAATATATAATTTCATTTTAAACATCTATAAATATTTATATTTTCACTCTTTAAATAATATTTAAATATATTTATCATATTTTTATATTTAAAGAATTGTAAGTAAGTTTTGTTCTTCGAATTTTTTTTATTAATAACCATGTATTAAAATAATATTTCGCAAATAATCGGGTTTCGAAAAAAATTACGCAAATAACCATGTTTCAGATGACTCCCCAAAGGAGGAGCCATCTCACTTGGCGCCTCCACCTAGGGTTTTGCCCTAGGCACCATCTCACTTGGCGCCTCCCTTGGCTTTTAGCCATGTGAGATGGCGCATGCTCCTTAAAAATGAGAGGAGGCACCATCTCACTTGGCTCCTAGGGCAAAACTAGGGCAAAATGCTGTTTTATAAATAATTCGTTTGTTTCTCCGAAATTTCTCACACTTTCTCGCACTGTATTTTTATTTTGTACTCTGTTATTTGCGTCATGACGTCGCCTATGATTTTTAATAGAGATGGTTACGTTATATTCTCCGCCACGAAACCTGCGATGAAAATGAAATTCTGGCACATTCACTCCATGGAGCGTCTGAAGCGGGAGTTGATGCGGTGGCTAGATGGAGACATTGCGGATGGGGGGGAAATTCGAAGGATCCAGCGAAAACGAACAACAACCTCACATGCGACAGGAAGACCTAATGTGTGGTTGGAGGAAGTCAAAACAGACAGTGATGTAATGCTGATGATGCATGGGTCAGATGAAATTGTGTTAACAGTTGTAATTTCCTAGATTGAATATCGTTAATTATTGTTGTACGCATTTTATTAACTGTAGCAAAATCTGTTAACGGAAAACCCAAATGTTTACAACACAAATATTGAAAAGATTTTATGTATTATAATATTTATGTGGTCGAGCCAGACGCCCGATTCGGACAGTTTTTGCGATTGTGTCCGACCTGACGGCATAAACCACACTTTCTTTCCAACCTGTCAAGATCGTCCATTTCTGTTGTGATGCGCCTACTTTTGGGACGACCCTTCTTGTTCCTTCGCATTTGGTCATTGTGCCAAACTATATCGTCGTTGTATTCAGGCCAATAATCCGGTTTTGCCACCAAAGGAAAGTTGTTGTTGTAAACAGTGAGCAACGTTTCAGATTTGTAAACGTTTGACAGCAGTTGAAGCGCGTCTTGATGGGTATGAGCACAAGCGGAAATGACATGAGAGCAAGGCATACGAAATGCTTGAAACCTGCTACAATCGCACCATTGAGAAGGTAAAATGACCCTGTATTCTTGTCTTGGCAGGCCTTCATTGTGGTCGATTGTCTCTTTCACAATGAAGTTGTGGCTGTGTCGGTCAAACCGTATAACCATGTGAGTGTTGGCTTTAGCACTTTCAGCCTTAATGTATTTCATGCAGCTTTCACTCCATAGTTGTCCAGATTGTAACACCACATTCCACATTTCACCTCTTTTGGCAAATAACGCAGCCATCCTAAAATACGTAGATTTTACCAAGGCAGTGATTGGGAGGTTTCGTATGCCCTTGAATACCCCATTCATTGATTCAATAAGATTCGTTGTCATATGCCCCCATCTTTGGCCATTGTCGTATGACCTAGTCCATTTTCCCACCGGAATATTGTCGATCCACCTACCGGCTTCTGGATTAGACAAACGGATGTCGTTGCAGTAATATTTGAATGTGGGTTGTGTCAATGCATATCCCGCATTCATAACCGCTTTCCTCAATGTTTTGTCCTTGACCTCCCTCGAGAAATTCTGGACGATATGCCTAACGCAATAGACATGCATAGAAGGAGGGTCATGCCAACCATTTGCTGGATTATTGTAGGCACTTTCAATGGAGGCATGTCTGTCCGAGATCAAACAGAGATCTGGTTGAGGAGCCACGTGTGTCCGAAGATTTTTCAGGAAAAAGCTCCAAACACCACCGGTCTCCCCCTCGACAAGGGCAAACGCAACGGGGAAAATGTTGGTGTTGCCATCTTGTGCAACTGCCATCAATAGCGTGCCTTTGTACTTCCCATACAACCAAGTCCCATCAATTTGTAGAATTGGTTTGCATGATGCAAACCCTATGATGCATGGTTGAAATGCCCAAAACACACGACTGAATATTCCGTTGCCATGCAGTAGACTACCATCTTGGGCGTACGCTGGCAATGTTTCCAGAACGTAAACACTACCTGGAGAATACGTCTTGAGTGCATTCAGGTAGCGGGGAAGTTCTCGGTATGACTCCTCCCAGTTTCCGTACACCCTTTCAATCGCCTTAGTCTTTGCTAACCACGCCTTACGGTAAGACGGAGTGTAGTTAAAAACCGTGGTAATGTGGGAGATGATTGTTTTCACCTTCAAAGATAGGTCGTTGCTGACCAGGGGTAGGATTTCTTGACAGATTAGATCATAGTTGAGTTTTCGGTGGTCCTGTGATTGAGTGGAACTTACACAAGTGTGGGTAGTCATGGAACCTATGACCCAACAATCACCCTTTAATCTGTATGATGCGGTCAGCTTGAACATACAGTCAGGGTGGACACACTTGATCTTGTACCTTTCCGGGTTGACACGATCCACCTTAAAATCAACCGAGTTGAGCATGTGAAATTTTTTAATGGCCCTGATGCATTCCTCTCTGTTACGAAACTTGTCCTTCTCTTTTAAATTTTCATCCGACTGCATATACGGTTTGAAAAATAAGTCAGTAGAAGGTTCATCTCCGCCCATGTTGAAGTTTGTCATGTGCGGAGGTGGTGTGTAGATTTTGTCTGTAGGAATACTAGGGATGCCATCATCGTTAGAATCATCGTTCACCATTTCATCAAACTCTAACTCGTTATCTTCTTCTTCATCATCAACTGCATCTACCTCATCTTGTTCATTCTCCAAAGGATCAACCTCCAGTGTCACCGGAGGCTCAACCTCCTGTGTCACCGGAGGCTCTTGAAGCAAAACTTACAACTCAATAGAGTCGTATCCAGAATAGACATGGCTGGAAATCATATTCTGGAGATCCTCGTCATCTTGAACTTCAACCTTATAAAAAATTACTTGGTTGTTTCCAAAAAAACTAGATTCTGATAAAATATCTGGGACACCGGGCCTCGTTCAAGTTTGGCCTCCAATCTTTTCTTGAAGTACGAGAAATTGGCTTTCCCGTTTAAGAGAAATCGAATGTTGTCTGTGTTTCTAAACAAAAACCCAGATGTGGGACAAATGTATGTCTCACCGTTGAAATGTGCTTTGATGACAAATTATGGTGAAGAGGCCATTGCATAGAATTGTTTTAAGGTTTGAAGGTTGGAATGTTTGAGGTTTATTGATTGTATGAAGGTATGAATGTTGTAATGTTTGAAGGTTGGAATGTATGAATTTGATGACTGATTCGAAGGTTGGAAGATTTGACAGATTATGTGAATCAATGTTATGTTAAACGTAAGGCTAAAAATTTCAATTAAGTAAGGATGCAACCCCCCAAGGCTGCCAATAATATTACATGCAATAATGAAACCCCATAGGCTGCCACCTAGTCTGGCCCTATTCTGCACATATACATGTTTTTTATAAGACTCCACCCATCAACTCCAATGGGCTTGCATGCAATAATGAAAGGAATCCCAAAGGCTGTCACGTAGCCTGAGCCTATGCTGTAACAAAGGACACCTCTTATTCGCCAATTGGGGTGGCGACACCATTCATTTTTGTACTCTTTCGCCAAGTCCAATGGCGCCTCCCTTACTGTCCAATCGTGATACATGCATGGGCTTATGAAACCCCATAGGCTGCCACCTAGTCTGGCCCTATTCTGCACATATACATGTTTTTTGTAAGACTCCACCCATCAACTCCAATGGGCTTGCATGCAATAATGAAAGGAATCCCAAAGGCTGTCACGTAGCCTGAGCCTATATTGTAACAAAGGACACCTCTTATTCGCCAATTGGGGTGGCGACACCATTCATTTTTGTACTCTTTCGCCAAGTCCAATGGCGCCTCCCTTACTGTCCAATCGTGATACATGCATGGGATTATGAAACCCCATAGGCTGCCACCTAGCCTGGCCCTATTCTGCACATATACATGTTTTTTGTAAGACTCCACCCATCAACTCCAATGGGCTTGCATGCAATAATGAAAGGAATCCCAAAGGCTGTCACGTAGCCTGAGCCTATGCTGTAACAAAGGACACCTCTTATTCGCCAATTGGGGTGGCGACACCATTCATTTTTGTACTCTTTCGCCAAGTCCAGTGGCGCCTCCCTTACTGTCCAATCGTGATACATGCATGGGCTGCCACCTAGCCTGCAAGAGTGACACCTTTCATTTTTTGTACATGCATGCATGCATATGTGTAACCCCCTAAGTATGCAAATGTGACACTTCGCAGGCATGCAAGCACAAGCAACCACTACATCAAACTTATTTGCCTATAAATACATACCATATCATACATCTCTCACACCCACACAAGTCTCACTCTCTGCTACGAAATATTTCATAAGTCTATCATACTCT